TTTTAGAGGAAGTCTCACTCCATTACCCAGGCTGGAGTGCAATGGCTCAATCTCAGGTCACCATAACCTCCGCCTCCTGAGTTCAAGCAGTTCTCGTGCTTCAGTATCCAGAGTAGCTGGGATCACAGGCCTGTGCCACTGTATATGGCTAATTTTTTCTATTTTTAGTAGAGACAGGGTTTCCCCATGGTGGCCAGGCTGGTCTTGAACTCCCTACCTCAGGTGATTTGCCCGCCTCAGCCTCCCAAACTGCTAGGATTACAGGCTTGAGATGCTGCGCCCGGCATAAGTTTTTTGTTTAATTATTTCTCACCTTTAGTGTTGACTTATACTTTAGGATATATGATCTGTTGTGCAATTAGGAAATTGTGATTCCAAATCCAAGTAGACCACCATGACTTGAAACAGAAAAATGCTTACTTAGTGTAGTAATTTCATTAAAGGAAGTGTCAGATTCCTTGTACTGTGTGTCTCAGCTGTGCTTTTATCTGGCAGACTCAAGGATAATTTGTTAATCAAAAATGTGGACAAGTAGAAATAATTGAGAAGTATGCTCTAAACAGAATACATAGCCCTAGTTTGTCTGTGGGGCTTAAATTTCATGCTGATTTATGTCTTCCTAATATCTAAGTAGGGTAGCATGTATTACAATTTAGTGATGATCTCAATGTGACCTAAAATGGTTTACATTTAGTTAGTTCAATTGTAGATATAACTATACGTGATTTTTGTGTTTGAAGATGGCGGAGATTACCATAGACAAATAATATTGCCTTGATTGTCTTAAACCATTTTTAAATGATAGCAAAAGTCTAATTTGAACACTATCATGACATTTTATTGTGATAATTCTACTATTATAAGTGTTTTAAATGGTGTATCTCTTAATTTAAACCATAGGTGTTATTTTTCTTCACCCTTGTTTATTTATTTATTTAATCATTTTTTTAATCAGCATGCACTCCTGGACATTTATTCTATACTTTGGGTTATACTCTAACACTATTTTATTTTAATTTATTTATTATACTTTAAGTTTTGGGGTACATGTGCAGGTTTGTTACATAGCTATACATACACCATGGTGGTGGTTTGCTGTATCCATCGCCCTATTATCTACATTAGGTATTTCTCCTAATACTACCCCTCCCCATATCCCTCACCCACTGCTATTCCTCCCCTTGCCCCCCAACCCCCAGGCTCTTGTGTGTGATGTTCCCCTCCCTGTGTCCATGTGTTCGCATTGTTCAACACCTGCCTATGGGTAAGAATATGCAGTATTTAGTTTTCTGTTCTTGTGTTAGTTTGCTGAGAATGATGGTTTCCAGATTCATCCATGTCCCTGCAAAGGACATAAACTCATCCTTTTTTATGGCTGCATAGTATTCCATGGTGTAGGTGACACATTTTCTTTATCCAGTCTATCATTGATGGGCATTTGGATTGATTCCAAGACTTTGCTATTGTGAACAGTGCCGCAATAAACATACATGTGCATGTGTTTTTATAATAGAATGATTTATAATCCTTTGGGTATATACCAAGTAACGAGATTTCTGGGTCAAATGATATTTCTATTTCTAGATCCTTGAGGAATCACAACACTGTCTTCCACAATGGTTGAATTAACTTATACTCCCACCAAGAGTGTAAAAGCCTTCCTATTTATCCATATTCTCTCCAGCATCTGTTGTCTGCAGATTTTTTAATGATCATCATTTTAACTGGCGTGAAATGATATCTCAATGTGGTTTTGATTTGCATTTCTCTAACGACCAGTGATGATGAGCATTTTTTGATGTTTGTTGGCTGCATGAATGTCTTCTTTTGAAGTGTCTGTTCCTACCCTTTGCCCACTTTTTGATGGGGTTGTTTTTTTTTCTTATAAATTTGTTAAGTTTTTTGTAGATTCTGGATATTAGCCTTATATCAGATGGGTAGAGTGGAAAAATGTTTTCCCATTCTGTTGGTTGCCAGTTCACCCTATTGATAGTTTCTTTTGCTGTGCAGAAGCTCTTAAGTTTACTTAAATCCCATTTGTCTATTTTGGCTTTTGTTGCCATTGAAGTTCTGGCTAGGGCCATCAGGCAAGAGAAAGAAATAAGGGTATGCAAGTAGGAAGAGAGGATGTCAAATTGTCCCTGTTTGCAGATGACATTATTGTACATTTAGAAAACCCCATCATCTCAGCCCAAAATCTCTTCAAGCTGATAAGCGACTTCAGCAAAGTCTCAGGATACTTATGCAAAATCAATATGCAAAATCACAAGCATTCCTATACACCAATAATAGACAGAGAGCCAAATCATCTGTGAACTCCCATTCACAATTGCTACAAAGAGAATAAAATACCTAGGAATACAACTAACAAGGGATGTGAAGGACCTCTTCAAGGAGAACTACAACCCACTGCTCAAGGAAATAAAAGAGGATGCAAACAGATGGAAAAACATTCCATGTTCATGATTAGGAACAATAAATATCGTGAAAATGGTCATACTGCCCAAAGTAATTTATAGATTCAGTGCTGTCCTCATCAAGCCACCAATGACTTTCTTCACAGAACTGGAAAAAACCACCTTAAACTTCATATGGAACCAAAAGAGAGCCTGCATAGCCAAGTCAATTCTAAGCAAAAAGAACAAAGCTGGAGGCATCACACTACCTGACTTCAAACTATACTACAAGGCTACAGTAATCAAAACAGCATGGTACTGGTACCAAAACAGAGATATAGACCAATGGAACAGAACAGAGGCCTCGGAGGCAACGCCACACATCTACAACCATCTGATCTTTGACAAAGCTGACAAATACAAGCAATGGGAAAGGATTCTCTATTTAATAAATTGCCTTGGGAAAACTGGCTAGCCATATGTAGGAAGCTGAAACTGGATGCCTTCCTTAAACCTTCAAAAATTAACTCTAGATGGATTAAAGATTTAAACATAAGACCTAGCACCATAAAAACTCTAGAAGAAAACCTAGGCAATACCATTCGGGACATAGGCACAGGCAAAGACTTCATGACCGTAAGTATTTTTAATTTGTGAGGGGCAAGATGTATTATAGCCCATCAAACAGAAGATAAGGGACGGTTGTATATTGAGAGTGAGTCAAAGCCAACCATATCATATAGGCATTTGAACATGGATATGACAAAAGATGGTACAGATAGAAAAGATAAAGAAATAGAAGAAATAAAGAGAAGTATAAACGTGTCACATAAAATTTTCTATAATCACTGATTTTAAAAATTAGCTGTTTGTTTTATACGTATATATTGAAAAATATTTCAAAGAGTTATTTATCATTTTTCATTGTTTCCTTTTTGCAGTATGTATGCATTGTAGGGTGCAGAATTAATCCATGTTGGTTTGTGAAGAACATTTACTCGATTCATCAACATCCCTGCTACTGTGGAGTCACCTGCCATGGTATTTGCCAAGATAGAGGTCCTGCACAATTTGAATGTGTGTGGCAATTGGGATTTAAAGGTAACACATTTATGTAATTTTTAAAAAATCTGCTTGAATCATTTCAAAATTTACTAGGCAAGTATTCATTTTCTAAATACATATTTTATATCTTAAAACACAACATAAAGTAAAAGTAAAATTAATACTTTTATTTTCCAATGTATTCCTTTAACTGACCTGTTCAATACCAACTACCATAGGAAATATACTTGGTACAAGATACATAATAGTGACAGAAACTAGAGCTATTTTCTTCTTTCATGAATCCATTTGTTGGAAGGGAGTGGCTAGTGGACACATACAGTAATAAATACATAATTTTATTTAAAATAAATGTGCTATGAAAACAGGTAGTATTCTATGAATGCTTATAAGCAATGAACTTGTTTAGAAAAAAAGAAAAAACCTGGGCAATGGAGAGATTAAACTGGGTTGTCAGAAAAGGTTTCCATGAGAAAATGACCCCTGAACAGAGACATAGAGAATAATGTCATGGCAGAGAAGCTGGAGAAGAGAGGATTTTGTGTTGAGGGAACTGTATTTATAAAAACATTGTATTAGAAGGCATGGCTTCTTTGAAGGCCTGTCTGGGGCTCTGAGAAAAGATGAATAACAATTCCATGGAGGGGGTAAAGCCAGAGCTAAAATGCTGAGTTAAGTATTTTGATTTTTATTCTAAAAGGAACAGAAAATTACTGTAAGGGTTTGACACATTCGATAAGTTTATAGCAAGTAAAGAAATATATGGAAGAGAAGAAAAAAGCTAGGGAGCTTGTTGGAGTAATAATCTGAGTCATCATGCAGGAAGCTTGAAATAAATGGAAGTTCTGTTTATGGGTTGGAAATAGCAAGTGATGTAGGTGTCAACAGGACTGCTAGTTTTCTGGCTTACACACTTGAAATGAAATTTCAACAGTTATAGTCCTATATACGTTTTTATTTGTTTTGTAGAATTTCAATTTCTACCTCAGTCTATTTTGATGAGCATCATTTTCTGTTCTTTGATTACATTTTTAATATTTTTTAACTTAACTGATGCAAATTTGATATATATTCGTAAGACTCTATGATATTTTCATCCTTTTAAAGAACATTTTCTCTGACTGTGATATTTTGGCACTACAGTTTACAAACAACAAGCAAATTAGTTGTTTGATGTGTCTGTTTTTGACTGAGATCTTATTTTATTTAACTGACAGCAGTTGAATTTATAACATTCTATTACATTACAACAGTGTTGAAATAAAGTAACAATTAGGCTTTTAAACATAAAACATGATATTTTATTTCACCTTGCTCATACTCTCTGTAGAGTTAACAACCTTTAATGACATAAATAGTTATCAGTTCATTAATCAAATCACACTAAATGGTAGAAGAGAGCATAGCATTGTTGATTATGCTATGTTGATGCCAAAAGGAAATTTCAGAGACTCTGTTATGAATACTTACTATTTTATAAATGATACAATTGGACAAAACAAAGAAATAACAATAGTTGAGGTTAGAGGAATTAACCTCAGGACTGTTTAAGGAATTGTGTCAGTTCAGCGGTTATTAAACCCTGACCACATATTAGAATCATCTGAGGAGCTCTTGAAATGCACTAATGCTGAACTCCCACTCCAGAACAATCAGACTAGAATTGTAGTGAGGAGGACACAGAGGACTTTTTGAGATTCCCTAAATGCTTTTTATGTGCAGATTGAGAACTATCTACTGTTATAACCAAATTAGTTCACATACTTCAGTGTTCGCATCATTTTTACAATCGATATTCCTTTGTCTCATAGTAGGAATAATGGTTTCATATGTTTGGTTATTTTTAAATATCAAACTCCTTTTGAGAACTAAAAACTTCTAAGCAGAACATATTCACAGTGATGAAATAGCAAATGTATTTTTGGGGGGAAAATGGAAGGAATAATGATAAGTCAAATTGCTCATGGATAAATCAGCTTTGAGTAAATATAGTCAATTTTATGAATGGCAGTGAAATAACAAATGTTTAGAAAATGGGTGGTGTAATACAAAGTTAAAATTACTCATAGATAACTTAGCACAAAGTAATTATCTTCAAAACAATGTGTGCATATTTAATCATTATCTCTTCCTGAATTGCTGGTCAGAACTTACTGAATATAGCAAACTGTAACAAAGATAAACATTATTTGACTCCTACATTGGATAATCTAAATAACTTGGCCTGTCCAATGGAAAAGAAGCAGTGTGATAATGCAGTCTGAATGAATGTTTAAGTAAAACAACCTAAACTCGTTTTGAATTTCAAAGTGAAGATTCAGCAGTAAAACTTCAAGTTTTCAGGACAAACCAGAAGTTTAAAGAAATGAAAAAAATATGTAAATAGAATTATTCATTTTATGTACTCCAAAATGCCTTCTCATTTCTTCTGGTAATTGCCATTAAGATCTTCTTTTATGTTTTCCTCATAAAATATAAAATGTAATTGAAGAGGAACTTAAAAATCATGCTGATAAGTTTGCATGGGGTGCATTAATTTTACCAGCAGGAAAATTATTTTAATTAAGGGATTTTTCTAACAACTAAATGAAGTGTCTTACACGCCCAATCAATTCTTGCCAATATGATTGCTCTACAGAGAAGGGATGGTAATTAATTAGAAGAAGCCTCTTCAAGGACAATTGGTTGACAGTGCACAACTTGAGAAAGAGCTGACATGCACTGTTTCTTTTCAATGTCATCATCTATGATCATTATGTGTATTATTAGATTTGAGAAAAGGAGCTACTGACAGAGTGGATAAAGAGTTGTGAAGTGATATAAGATAATATGAATCATGCTTAAGAAAAGATAAAACCCTAGGTATAAAAGGAAATAAGGCAGAGAAATTCTTTTGAATCTCTTTCTTCTTGAAGCATGTCATTATTGCAGTTTGCTTACCTAAGTTAAACATACTCAGTTAAAACATTTAACATGTACAAGTGAACTTTTTTCCAAATTAATAGTGATTGTTGCATTTACGAGTTAATATTGCAAACTAATACTTACTTTGAAAGTTTTATTTCTTTCTTTATAAAATAATGGATCTTACTTCTGTTAGAAGACCTTATGGGCTATTATTATACATTACTTTTTTAAACAATTATTGTGAAAATAGGAAATATTATATCACCAAAGCAATCTTTATCAAAAGCCATTTTTCTTAGTATATTGTTCTACCTTCAAGTTTTCTTTTGTCAAATCCCTGCTATTTATGTATCTATGAGGAATTTTACAAATTTTAGTTTTAATTTTTATTTTTAATCTTTAGTTGCAAAATTTTTAAAAATCTGAGTATTAAAAAATAATTGTGGTTTAGTGCTTTTCATTCATGTCACATATAAGTTTTCATTGCATTTTTACATGTGTTGAAAGAGAATTCTCTTAATTGATTAAATTAGTGATTAGAAATAAGTAACTAATAAACAGAACAAAGCTATTATATGGAAGAAAAGATTTTATATGAACAAGAATTAAAATGTTAAAATGCCTAGGACTAAAATTAACAAAAATATGCAACTTCTACATGGAGAAAATTTTAGATATTGCCATAATATAGGTGCATGCATACATAATCTAAAAGAAAATTCTAAAGATATGCTGTAGCTATTATTAACAATTTTTTCTTTCAACTTTCATACAAATTTATTAGTGATTTACATACTACCATACAGTAGTTGAGTATTCTGAATTTGACAGTGTGTTTCCTTTTACCAGTAAGTTTTATACTTTCAGAAGTTTGTCACCACAAGTGTGATAACTATGTGAGGTAACGCATATGTTAATTAGCTAGATTTGATCATTCTACAGTGTATATATACTTCAAAATATCATGTTGTATATTATAAATACATAAAATTTCATCTGTAAATTTAAAATAATAACTTACCTTTAGAAAACTTATATCATACTGGAGATACAACTTTTAAAGATTTCAACTCAATATTATTTTATAGGTTATTAAAATTTTAATAAAATAATGGTGTTACCTTTTTTATGAAATTTACATCTTATTTCTGAATGCTTACATAGGAAAAAAGACAAAGCCAACTCTGCAAAAGTACATCATATGGACAAGTGGGGTATAAAATGAACTCTGCCATATATTAAAGTGGATTACATAGCTTCATTAATGAAAGCATAGCACCACTGCCTTGGTAGTCAACAAATATGACAAAATACAAAGTCTCAAAATGAATCCAAGTCATGAAAAAAAGTAACACATAATAAAATTGTCACCTCAGATTTTAAGAATAGGTAGGACTGTTTAATAATTAACATAGAAAAACTGGATAGCCAACTGAAAAAAAAAATCCAACTTGTGTACACCTTTCAACATTCTCTGGATTAAATCGAAATAGATAAAATTTTAATGTATAAAAATAAAGTATAAAAATATTAGAGAATGTTGGAGAAATACTTTGTAAATTTGGATGGCAGAAGAATGAAACTAAACCCCTGTCTCCCACCATATACAAAAAGCAAATCGAAATGGATTAGACTTACATCTAAGTCCTCAAGCTGTGAAACTACTGAAAGAAAACACTGGGGAAACTCTCCAATATATTGTACCAGGCAAAGATTTCTTGAGTAATACCCCAAAAGCACCAGTAATCAAACCACAGATAGACAAATGGAGTCACACCAAGTTAAAATGCTTCTGTAGAGGAAAGGAAACAATCAACTAAAACAAAACTCACAGAATGGAAGACCACATTTGCAAACTATCTATGTGACAAGGGACTAATAACCAGAATACAAAAGAAGCTCAAACAAATCTATAAGAATAAAATAATAATATGATTTTTAGAAATGGGGAAAAGATCCCCTCCCACATGGTGGGAGCTCCCTCTGGGATTTCCCCTCTGGAATCACCATTCACACTCTTCGTGGAAACCTTTCTCTTCTCCTTTCCTTCTCTTTTCTCTACCTAAATAAAATCAATTTTCTGCAAAAGAAAAAAGAAAAAAAAAAAAGAAATAGGGAAAAGATCTGGATAGACATTGCTCAAAAGAAGACATGCAAATAGCAAACAGGCATACGAAAATATGCTCAACATTATTGATCATCAGAGAAATGCAAATCAAAACGAATATGAGATGTCATCTCACCCCAGTGCAAAGAGCAGGCAATAACAAATGCTAGCAAGAATATATAGAAAAGGGAATTCTTGCACAGTGTTGATAGGAATGTAAATTAGTACAATCACTGTGGAGAATAGTTTGGAGGTTCCTAAAATTACTAAAAATAGAACTGCCATATTATCCAGCAATCCCACTGCTAGGTATACACTCCAATGAAAGAGAATCAGTATATCGAAGAGATATCTGCACCCTTATGTTTGCTGCAGCACCATTCACAATAGCGAAGATTTGGAAGCAACCTGGGTGTCCATCAACAGAGGAATGAGTAAGGGAAATGTGGTGTATTTACCCAATGGAATACTATTCAGCGATATATATATACATATATATATATATGTGTGTGTATATATATATATATATATATACACACATACATATACACACACACATATATACATATATATATATATATATATATATATATATATATACACACACATATATATATATATACATATATAAAATGAGATCCTGTCATTTGCAACAACCTGGATGGAACTGGAGGTCATTATGTCAAGTGACATAAGCCAGGCACAGAAAGACAAATTCACATGTTCTTACTTATTTATAGAAGCTTAAAATTAAAACAATAGAACTCATAGAGATAGAGAGTAGAATGATATTGGGAAGGGTAGTGAAGGTGGATGGAAGTGGGGATTAATGGATACAAAACTATAATTAGATGGAATGAATGAGACCTAATATCTGATAGCACACCGGGGTGACTACAGTCAACAATAATTTAGTGTACATTTTTAAGTAACTAAAATAATATAATTGGATTGTCTATAACACAAAGAAAGGATAAATGCTGAAAGTGATGGATACACAGTTTTCACTGAGGTAGTTGTTATGCATCGTATGCCTATAGCAAAATAGCTCATGTAACCCATAAATATATACACCTAACATTTACCCACAAAAATTAAAAGAGAAAAACCAAAAAAAAAATGGATGGGGAAGATGTTTATAACTAATAGTAAAATTATTGATGTCAGAAAGAAAAGGCTCATGAATTTTACTACATGACAAGTAAAAATAACTGCTTATGAAAGTCATAGAAATCAAAATGCAAAAGAAACACTGCACAGACATTTCACTTCACAAAGGAAAGAAACCTGATAGGTAAATCACTAATATAAACATACAGTTTACATAAAAAGACATAGAGAATATAAATATATGGGGAAAATGCTGAGCTCTATTCATAATGCAATCAAAGCAAATTTTAAAAACACTGTTGTTGTAAGTATATAATTTTTCTCCTATTAGCCAGGAAAAAATTTGAGAGTTAGACAATTTAGTGACTATCCATTGCCAGCAATAATGTAAAATCACTATAATATCTAAATGCAATATTTTGCAATATCTGTCAATACTACAAATTATACACTGTTTGACCTAACCTGATCATTAAGAATATATCCACATGCTAAATAATATATGTATAATTTTATACCTGGTATCATTAGTTATTAAGAGAAAGGATAAACATAAATATGGAAATGAATTACTAAAATTACTAAAAATGCAATTGCCATATTATCCAGCAATTCCAGTGCTAGATATATACTCAAATGAAAGAGAATCAATATATTGAAGAGCTACCCCTCCCATGTTTGCTGCAGCACTAGTCACAATAGTCACAGTAAAGATTTGGAAGCAACCTGGGTGTCCATCATCATCATCATCATCATCTAGGACTGAGATATATGATAAGGTGAAAGAAAGGAATGCAACAGCGTAGAATCATGTGTATAGTAGACAACATTTTGATTCTTTATATTTAATTTGTGTTTATTTCTGTGGAAGACTTTTTTATGCCTTTTGCTCAGTGTTCTGAAATTTCACAATGTTGAGTCTTTTACATAGTGTGACTTGTCTCTTTTTAAGCTCTTCTATTTGGAAATGTTAGTCTTTTAATTTTTAGGAAGTTTGTGTATTTTTTCCCCTAAAATGTCTCTTTTCTGTAGTTCCAATTTCAAAAATTGGATATCACATCTCCTAAATTGATCCTCTGATTTTTTCATAATTTCTTTTCTCTTTCCTATTTTTATATTGCTTTATTTTCTGCTCCATTCTCCCAACTGAATATCTCAAAATGTGTGTTGAATTGTTAATTTGTTTGACTATATTTGTAATGATCTAGGGCATGGTTTCATCCTTTAAATTGTACACATTTGTGACATCCCGGGGTTTTTTTTTTTTCCTAATAAGGATAAAATAACTTTGCTTCTCTCCCTGAAAGTGTTATAGTTTTGTTTGAATTGTCTTCTGCCTTGCACAGTTTCTCAGTTTTCTGTAAATATTGCTTATGATTATTTGTTCTCTTTTGTTTGAAATCTTTCTGCCAAATGTGGGGTGATCATATTTAATGGTGAGTATCTAAGAAGGCTGACAGGAAACTGACCATGCAAGGATGGACCTTGGTGACCAGATCTCTATTACAGGGTTGCAGGGTGGCAATTAGGCTTTCATTAGGGGAACTTCAAGAAGCTTGGTATCTTTAAGGCAGGAGCCCTTGAGATTCAACTCCTGAAAAAAAAACCTGGGAAATTCTTTGTTGGTAGAGCTGACGGAGGTGAGTGAGGGGTTAGAGTAATAATCTGGATAACTGACTTGGGACAGAGGCTCTGAGTGTCAGCAAATCTTGTTTGCAGAGCCCACCTTAGTACCAGAATTTGGTACTAAGAAGTTTTTCAAACCCTGAGCATCTGAAAATTTCTGCTAGGCCAATAATTTTTTTATAATTATGTCCTCTCATTTGTGTTTGGGCTGTAGCCTTTCTGTTAATTTAGTCAGTTTATCATTTTTTTCATTATTTTTATGGGTTAAAACATTTGCTTTATTTATTTATTTGTTTACGTTATCTCTTTTTTGAGGCTTTGGGAGACAGAGGCAAAAATTTAAGATTTAAATCCAAATGTTTAGTCAGATATATCATTATGAAAAACTTGATGCTAATAAATTGGACAATTTAAATGAAATGATAAATTTCTGGAAAAATACTAGTTGGCAAAACTCACCAAATCATACATTTTAGTTCTAAATAATCCTACAATTTCTTAAATAACTAAATAAAATAGTTTTAAAAATGTTCCCACCAAAAAATACTTGAAATATGTGGCCTTCTATTACAGTTCTCCAAATTTTCAATAACATAATCATTCTAATACTATATAAACTTGCAGGAAAAAAACAGAGGGAAGAACACATGTCAATTAATTATACGGCACTAGCATAATCCTTTTTGAGTTAATTACTCTCAGCATGTTGAAGGTAGAAAATGTATTGACCTATCATTACATTTACTTATATTTTCTTCCCTTGTATCTGATCTTCTGATAATCTCATACATTGATTATTTTATTATTAATATAGCCATAATTTTCTACAATCTTAAAATTGTAAATGGTCAAATTACATACATAAGATTGAAGAGCTTTGGGATATTCTGCTTGGTTCCTAGCCCCTTCCTGTTTTCCAGTAATATGTGAGATTCCTTGGTGAGAAATTCACATGGTAGGGAGATGTCAGTTTATGAATTATCTCTAATTTACAATTCAGTTGTAAAATACATAGCTTACATGATATTTTTCAAGAAATGATGCCTTGCAAGTCCCTAGATTTTAGATTTGTTAACTATAAGCAGTCCTAAACTAGGGATATTTTGCTAAAATGTTCTTTAGATAAATTCTGTCCTCTAACAAATATTGTTTGTTGGTTTACTAGGAGATGTAATCATGTTTACAAAAAGATTGGATCAGGTCTCCTACGTTCTTCTATTACCTCCATTAATGACCAATAACAGGTTCTCAGCCCAACTTAATTAACCCTTTCTCCTACAACTCTGAGATTTACATTTGTTGTTTCTTTGTTTTTTCCTATAGTTTCAAAATCTCTCATTCCCTAATTACCTATCTACTATCTATTTTATTCATCTTTTCATATAGATTTTCAACAAATTTACTGTATATCATTGTCCTTGTCTGATAATTCTTGGTCTGGGCCTTACAATTTTAGTATTCCTCTTGAATATAGGTCACATTCTCTTGAATATAGGTCACTTCTTCTTTCTTTTGCAATCTCTCCTTTTATTTTTGTTATAGGACATTTTTTTTTATTTACAGCTTTAACATCATTTCTTGTAATTATTAATTGCAATTTAGTCAACATTTGATTATTTTTAAAAATGAATTGGTCTGGGAGCTGTGTCTGTTTCTTGTTGTGATGCTGTATTTCTCAGTCCATGTTTAAAATGAGAGGGTTGGGCTTTGAGGTCTCCTTCAGATTCAGTATCATATACATACAGGAACTTATTTTGTGGCAGATGTTGTCAAATTTATATTTTCAAGTAATTTGACCACAGTCCTTAAAAATTCATTGTGAATTCAGGTTTGTAAGAGTTTAATTTTTTATGTCTTTTTTTTAAAAAGGATCTGAAGATGAAAACTGCCAAGGGGTTATTGATGCCTATTTCTTTCTGGCTGCAAACTGCACTGAAGATGCAATCTATGTGAACAAGCCTGAAGACATTAATAATTCATGCTGGTTCCCATGTGAAGGCACAAAAGAGGTAAGGTAAATTTATCTAGTTGCTTCTCATTTTTCTCTTTAGCTTGTAATTGTCTGATTTGTAAAATGTTAGAAATGTTTAGATTACAGATTCTTTAATATTCAAAATATATATTTTATGTAGTTCAAATATAACTTCGTAAATAAGTATCCAACAGTCTACTTGGAAATTCATTTTTACTTCTTACATTTATAATATGGGAAAGTAAAAAAAATTCAAAGAATCATTTTGTTCTTGGTCTTCTTGTGTTTTATTAATGTTATAATTTGCTGGCTGATTAAAACCTCTCAAATACAGTTGTGCTTATGCCACTTTTTTGTTTACAGATCATAATGAAATGCCATTGCCTTTTGTGTATGTTTAAATTTCTGAAAGATTTCTAATCTCTTACACCAGCAAAATACTTTAAAAAAAATGTTTAAATGAAAATAATTTCTAATATCTAGACAGTTCCATCCCTAAAAGTTGTGGGGCCTATGGCAAGAATAAAAGAATGATCCTCGTTTTATCCCCTCACCTCCATCTTATACAAATTAAGATTATATTTTTAATATGTAACAATAATTAAGAAATATTTAAGGATCTTAATTTTAAACACATTATGAACTTTTTGTTAAAATGATTCAGGAATTTTCCAAAAAGTTAGAGAATTAACTAAGCATTTGTTACCTATCTTGTCTTGATACAACCTAATTCGGTCATTTTATGAAAGACATATTTTAATTCTGTGATTTGTATACATTTCAGCATAGATTCATAAGCCCTTTTCTTTATGAATATATCCATTTCCATGGAGTCGATCTTGTAAATACTAATACAAGTCACTATTTCCTTCAAATTCACCATGTAGAGGCATTACAACTACAGGCAAAAAGACTTCAAATACCATAGAACCTCTAAAAGTATGCCCTCAAATATATCTTGAAATATGTTTATAATCATAAATATATGAAGTAAGCATATATATTTTTACAAGTATATATTTAGCCAAACACATATACATCACTGTGATATAGATTATTACATTAAAGCTTTATCTTTAAGACATTTAGCTTTATCAGTATATTTAAAATTATTATACATTATAATAAAATTAATAATTCAGTAACTGTAAACCTTTCTTAGGAACAAGTAAATCATATTTGTTGTTTTGTTATGTATTTTTAGTTCCCAATATTCTTTTATAATAATCACCAACTTTAAGTAAATTAGCCATTGCAAAGTTAGCAATCCAAGATCATTTTAGCTATTTTATTATTTTATGATTGCACATTTTATATAACTTTACCACTTTTATCATAGGTAAAATAAACATAAATATATATCTCACAACTGCATTTGTACATCTTATTTCCATTGTATAAGGACAGGTGTAATTTAAAACTATGTTTAGAGGCTTTATTTTTGTATTTTTCTTATTTAGAAATTGTTCAGGTATCCAAAATAATTTTATTAATTTTATTAAGCATCTGCGTAAATTCTTAACATTGACTAAATATTTATAAATTGCAAACTTACACCATCATGTTAAGTTTTTATGATTTGTAGCATCATCAATAAAACATTCTAGTACATCAGTGTGATAAAATTAGAAAGAATTCACAAGATTCAACCCTTTTAAATTATATCTGCTATTAAAATTTCAATTATATTAATTTTAGATTTGTGTAATCATACTTTGAGGCCGTAATCATAGAACATATCTCTTAAAGTTAAATTATATCAGTCTAGTTTATCTAAAGTATCATTTATTTAAAAAACTACATGAGTTCTTTTTAAATAAACCTCTTTAGAATAAATAAAGACATATGTACTAACACAAATAAGCAAACTTCAGTATTTATGTATTTTGAAAAATCAAAACTTTAGGATTAAGCCAAAGCTCTGTGGAGTCCAGTTTTCTTTTCAACTAAAAGAGTAACAATATTACCCATACACATGAATGTTTTTCCTCATTTGTTAAATTTTGCCAAGAGAGAAACATATAAATAAAGCAAAGTTAATCATTTCTTTTTATTGTAAATGTGGACTATCTGAAAAATAGTCTTAGAATGTCCATATATGATAATGACAGAAAAAATATTTGTGATTAATTAATTTCAAATTTTTCCTAAGAAAAAAAGAAAAGGAAAAACGTGAGAAATGAATACGTGAAGTTTATCAAGATTCAGGTAGATATAAAATTGTGATTGTTAAGATTGATTATCTCCCTTCTGCACAGCGAGGGGATGCTTAAATACGGAAAAACCTATTTTCATACACACACAAGAACAAATCATTATAGATAGTTAAAACAACTCACATACTTGACAATTCCACAGAGCCATATAATTAAAAATCTAGTGCTTATTAATCCCAGAAGCATGAAAATGAAAGAGAAGATTTTGTATAATACACAGAGTAATCTCTCTATTAGACATATAGGACAGAGAATCTCCTCATGAGGATTTTTTCCTTTTTGTTCTATTGCATCTGCCAAATAAACCATCTTGTTCATGTCAAAATTTCCCCAGGGTGGTCACTGCAATTTCATATTGTTCTTTGAGAAATTATACCAATTAGAGAGATATGTACATGGCTTACAATATGAGGGAGGAATGTGTGCTGTCCAGGCATAAAAGGCTGAGAAGAACCCATGAAAACTTAGGTCAGCAAGTGTTTGTACAATATCATGTCTCCAGAACATTCCAAAGATCAGTCTATTTCAAATCAACTAAGAGTGTTTACAAGACTTTTTTAAAGATGACAATAAAAAATGTTGCCTAAAGGAACACAAGAGTGATGTGACCGTCTGAATTTATCACTTATTTAGACCACTTGAATGATGTAGTTAATGGAACCGACACTTTCCTTCCCGGCCAACTTCCTCTTATAGAGTCACCTGAAAAAGTGATGAAAATGGAGAGTTTTCCTATTTATGTATAATTGAATTATATAATCCAAGGATTCCTAAAAAATGTTTTATTCTTCTTAAGAAACAAAAGAAACATAGCATTTGTGAAGCTGATGAAAACAAGTTGAAGTTTAGACTTGATACTGTACCTGTGGCAGTTTCACAGTTGGAGAGAATATCCAGTGGTCTCAGGGTAGTACATTGGTTGCTAGCCGTCCTTAAAAGTGATGGCATTTCAGTGGTATCTTTGTGAAACTTTGGATTTGTTCACTTTTTACACTCCAAAAGACCACCAGGCAATTCTGCTGATCGAGCAAAACTAATTATTTTAGACTTATTTCAATAAGGGAAAACAACACATTAGTAGAGTTGTAGAGTTAGTAGTGCTGTAATCAGGTGGCAGGATGACAGGGGCTCAGCCCCTTCCCCGTGCTAGCCCAAGATGTAACTGGGTATGTCCAGGTTCTTGGGGTCACTTGCCCCAGGAATGGGGAAAGGGCCCTGGCAGCGTGGTGAGCTTACCATTCAAGTAAATATGGAATCCAAAGAGTTTAGCAGAAAGTGATTTATTAGGCAGAGGGAGAAAAAGAGAGAGAGCTCCCACGCTGCCCGTGAGGGGGAATCCAAAGGGGATATCCGCATAGGCAGAGAGGGAAAGACAGCTCCCACGTTGTTGTGGGAGGGAATCTCAGAGCGGGAAATCCATATAGGAAAGGGGGCAGTGGAGTTTTAACCCTGAAGTTATTCCCTCCCCTTTTATGTTGTTGTCCAATGAGAGGAGTTCTTTCAAACTTCCTCTGGAGTGATTGATCTTCGACTCTCATCCCAGATTGGTTGCTTGGGCCCACGACAGATTCCCCCTCCCCCAGAGCTATTCGCTGGCTTTTTAAACAAAGGAGCTCACCTGGAATTTCCACCTAGCCTGCCCCTGGGAAAGTTAGAAAACAACTTTACATTTGAAACCCCTCTGATCCCCAGATGGGGGCGTGGATGGAGGTATGGCACTCGGAAATTCCTGCCTTTGAAACAGGCAATTTTCCCTAACACAGTCCCTTAGCGCCTCACATGGGAGACGTTGTGGAAAGATACTTATTTGGTGTAGACCCTTAAGTCAGTTGTAGAGTGTATCTAGTGGGAGTTGGTTAGAATTTATGAATGAAAACTTTGTATTGATGGCACAATATACTGAGCATCTTTAAATTGAGTCTTGATATGCAAACTGTTAGTATTTGTAAAGAACTTATTTTAGTTGGTTTATAGCCTTACATTCCAGAAGCAAGTATTTCATGGAGTAAATAGTAAGTTATTCTTTCTTTTTCTCAGTGTTTTAAAACATATGACAAAAAAAATTAGGTTTATTTTGGTTTTCATTATCAAAGACAGAAATTCCAAAGGTGTTCTTTTACTTCTTTGAGTTAAAATGTCTCCCTTCTCTGACTGAGGTCCTTTTTTAAATGCAAATGCTTCTGGAAGGGAAACACATAAATATAAATGAGTTTATCTTGTTTTCTATACCCCTGCCACCAAAAGGTTATAAAATTATGTATTATTATGAATTACTGGGAAGGGAAGTTGCTTTTCAAACAAAGTAGAAGAGATCATGGAGCACTAAAACTTGGGATTTGAAAGGTTTTTACCAAGTTTATTTTATTTCAGAATTTATGACTAGATCTTCATCTACTGTAAATTTGAACTTTAATTCATCCTGATATGATTTTTTAAATCTGTTCCCTTTTAATTAGCTAAATATATAGCCAAAACAGCCTTCCTTTTTCCCACATATTGACTAACCTTCAGACAGGCTTCTTCTTGCCTATAAGCCCCTACACTTTTTTATTCCTATAGCATGTACTTTAAAAACTTTGCAGGTGTAAATTATGGAAATATATGTAAATCTTCTTCCAGCTGCTTTGCAGTTTAAGGATGCAGGGGATGTCTTTATCAAGGACCATGGAACCATGTCTCTGAACTGTGAATATCAAAGAAAATAGTACTCTTACTTCTCAGTCTACTTTACAGAAGGCCTTCCCAGTCTACTCACAGAACAAAAGTGTTGCAAACTCAATAATGATTGAATCTGCTTGACACATTCCATCTATCATACTCTTCCCTAGTGACCTCCAGTACAACAGCCTCCCCTTTAACTGCAGGGATACTTTCCAAGACCCCAGTGTATGCCTGAAACTGTGAATATACTATAGTTTTTCCTATACATATATACCTATGATGAAGGTCATAAATTAGGCATAATAAGAGATTAACAACAACTAATGATATAGAACAATTAGTACACTATAATAAAAGTTAGATGACTATGGTCTCTTTCTCTTTTTCAAGATAACTTACTAAATTATGCTCACATATTTTTGAACCATGATAACTGAAAGGATGGAAAGTGAAACCAACGATAAGGGAGGACTGCTGTCATTTTTTATTAGTTTAAGTTCAAAATTAAAATCCCTCCTGCTGTCTGTTTTGAGGAATTGAGTTTAGTTTCTCTCTCCTATTTTAATAGTCTTTAATAAAATTTAATTACCTATTTAACTTCAGCTCAATTTTTATCTCGACAGGTATTATTTTAAGGATCCAGCTTGCTACATATCATGATTAAGAAAAGTCACTTTCACCTCTGATGTCACTTTATTTATCTATTTAATAACAAGGGTCAAAAAGTGGCAAAATAAATGCCATATGTTAGATCTTATAGAGTTTTTTCCCCATGGAGTCCTTTGTCAATGACCCTATGTACTAATATAATATGGGTATGACAAGATAATTTACAGAAAATTACATGATATTCCCTGAAATGATAGCTGGCATTATTTAACTAGCACTGTTTACTTATCTATGCAGAACATTTTCTGTAAGTATGTTATGAATATCCTTCATGTAGTTAATTTCTCTACAAAAGAAGTGACTTTGTGGTAATAATATTGTTATGTATATACATTACCAGTACTGAATTCTCAAAAAGGAAATTCCTAGCAGTTTGTTACTTCTGTTTCCTTTGGAAAGAAAAGATCCTCCACTGCCCAGAATCATGATTTTGCTACATTCCTTCTTCAAGTAAACATTTTAAAATATCTAGAATAAAACCTAGAATTTAACTTTTGTGTATTTTGTAATATCAGGGTTTTTGTGCAAAGTGTAGTAATTAATTATATATTTTATGTACATGATATGTATACAATTGACCTGTGAATAATACAGGGGTTAGTGTTGCCAGCCCCCATGCATTCCAAAATTTGTAAAATGTTTGATTTAATGTTTGATGGAGTGTTTTGTATAAATTTTTAAATATTCTTTTAAGCAGATTTTTGATTCTCTATATATACAAAGTTGAGAAATCTTTTCTCTGCTATACAAGGTAGATCCAAGTTTCTATGTGTTTACTGATATAATTTACTTTCTTACTAATTTTTGTGAGAGACTTCATCTTATCTATAAATTTAATTATAGAAAACCAAAACTCTAGTAGAATTCTAGACTATCTGAACAGATGAAAAATCATGTTGAAATCTCAAATTATTTTTTAGGGCCAGAAATTACTTGCAACAGTTTTTAGATATAGTAAATAACTGTGGTAAAAAATAATTCACCACCTTTCCCATTTAATAAAAGTGTCTCAACTAGAGCATTAGATATAATTTAGGTGTTCATATGAGACCCCTTAGACAAAATCTTGTGTGGTTTTGAGGTATAGCCAAAAGGAAAACTAATTTTTCAACTTTTAATTATTTCAGATTTTCTTAAATACCAGTAATAATTATTTTGAAAATAAGATTAAAGGGAAAGCATATAGTTATATGAAACAAGTCTATCCTATTCAGAATTCTATACTAATATTCCTTGTTAAAATATTGCTTTTTCAAGATTTCATTATATATTATTTTGTAATATAGGCTTCTAATAATTAAAAATGCAATGGGAATTTGAAGTTTTGGTGTTTTGTATTTTCTAATTATATTTACGTTACAGAAATAATATATTATGCATTTTTCCATAAAGAATATTTCAAAAATTAGCAAATTTTGAATAAGGCTTATAAGCTAGAAAATATAGTTTTATAGCCAAGTCAACTTTCTAACCTTGGTAATTTTTCTGAGGTAACAAAAGAGAATATTCTCATTTTTAAAAGAAATACATAATAAGTATAATGTTCAATATAGTCTGAAATCTCAGGAAGGTAAACTACCTATAAATATACATATAGATAGAATAAGAAAGCATTGCCATAAAATGCCAATATTTGTTGCTTCTTATGTGAGTGTTAAGTTTTTAAGCCAATTATAATAGTGCTCCTTTAATTGAAAAAACTTTACGACTAATATCCTGTGACTGTAGAAAATCATTATATACTCAAACAGAAATGAAGGCCTTTCTGAGTCACAAACACGTAGACATATAGACACAGAGAAAACTTATAGCTTCAGTTGTAGTATTTTAGGCTTGGGACAAGTATAAATAACACTTGATTATCTGTCCATGTCAAAGAACTTTTCTCCTTCATAATAGATTTGACTTTCTTACTTGTTTTGAACTCTATGTAGAAAGTAAAAAGACGGATTCTCATTTGATTCTTATTCAACAGAAAGTAAATCTCTATGAACCATTCATTTATTGAGATATCACTAAAGGGTCAGACCATGAAACAAAAACTCCTAATGATTGTTGCTACAGATGGAAAATAACTCTTTGGCTATGAAACAAAACCAAAAAGAAAATATGAAAATATGCAGAGAAATTTTTTTAAAGATAGTAAATTTCTATAGTTATTTGAATTTGCCTTTAGGAATTAGGAATATATGTATATGTAAAAATATAAATATATACTTGTGTTTAACTCTCCATAAGAAGTGTACTTCTCTCTGACAGTTTACCTAACCATCAGATAAATCCACTGGGCATATCTGTGGAAGACTTCCAAAACTGTTAAAAAATATAAATATAATTTTTGATAAAATGTAGCATCATGACTTTGTGAAAATATTAAATATATGTGAAATACATTGTTTAATTTACTTTTAATAAGGAAACCAGTAAAGTTTTACTGTCAGTTCAAAGGAGAAACCAAGTAAACCACCGAAGGAGAAAAACTATTTAGCAAAACCAAAAATAGATTTTTCCATGGATCTGTCTATCAATACAATGCTGTTTGATACAATACAACATCAGATCAGTTAACATTTAAACAATGTCTATAAAAATTTGGTTAAAATACAATGAATTTTTTAAATTGTCTAATAGATGTATACATATTCAGTATATATTACATACATAAAAATACACACATATATATATTCCTGTCACAATTTGTGTATACAATTTGACTATTGAAAATGATTTTGATATAAATCAAAACTGATTTTTTTAACATTTGCTAAAGGAACACATTATTTCAACACATAAATGAAAGCTTGAAATCCTTCAAATGATTGTGTCATCCAAAAGACTATCAAGAAGACTAAATGATAGAAAGAAGGGTTTATTTGTGATATCAATTTGCTAACTGGGTGTATTAGTTCATTCTTACACTGCTGTAAAGAACTACCTGAGACGGGGTGATTTATAAAGACAAGAGGTTTAATTGACACACAGTTCCACAGGCTGTACAGGAGGCATGGCTAGGAGGCCTCAGAAAACTTACAATCATGGCAGAAAGTGAAGGGGAAGCAAGCATGGTCTTCACATGACAGCAGGAGAGAGAGTTAAGGAAGAGATGTTGCATACTTTTTAACAACCAGATCTCAGGAGGACTCAGTCAGTATTTGAATAACAGCGAGGATGAAACTGCCTTCATGATCTAATCATCTCCCACCAGGCCCCACCTCTGACTCTCAGGATCACAATTCAACATGAGAGCTGGGTGAAGAAACAGAGCCAAATAATATAGCTGGGAAAAATTCATCTCTGATGTGGATGTCAGGTGCTCTCTTAGAAGTGGTGAAGGGCAGGGTGATTTTTGTGCCTCACAGGGTCTGTGTTATACTAGAGTCATACATATTCAGCAAGTTTGGGGAGAAAGCAATACGCATTTATGAGGGGGAGTCAAGCACATGCTCAATGAGTAAACATATATGTAACATACATCCCATATTCTCTTTGAAGCAGGCTTTAGCATTGAAATGAGGTAGAATTTGGCATTTTACATCAAAAAGTGAACTATAGGTTACAAAGACAGTTTGTGCTCTGTCTCTATAAACTGGCTGAAATTGGCTTGAGGACTACAATTGCTTATCAGAAAAGAGTGTTTGTAAGGTGATTCTGTCTGATAAGGGTTATGGTGGCCTTGGTTGTAAATCAAAGTTAGGAAGGAAATGACAGTTTGACTGATAGCTCTTATTAGGGAGTTTAGCAAAGGTGTGGTTTTTCTTGTAGCTCTAGAAATTTAGGGAATTGCTGTACCAGCCAAGCTCTGAACAATTGACCCATAGTTAACTTTCGTTTCCTTAACCCCAGGTTTCATCTTAGTAGACAGAGGGACATGTATTGGGGTCTCTCAGATCACAATTGTAATATTGTAGTATGTGAGGGGAATTTTTTTAACATATTTCTTTTTTGTTATAGATTTGTGCAAATGGATACAGTTGTTTACATAAAGAAGACAGTCAGGAATATCAGTGTCTATGTTTTATCAGATGGGCTGACAACATATATCTAGAAAATACAACTGATCAAGAAAATGAGTGTCAACATGAAGCTATTTGTAAAGATGAAATTAATAGACCCAGGTATTTATGTATCATTTGAGCACATAACATTACCTATCAAAAAATTATAATTACAGTGATAAGTCATGATTGAACTGTTTAATGGTAACAATCTTTTTTGATTAAAATGATTGTAATTTCCACACCAAACACTTACATATACATATATGGTTATTATATGTTATGTTATATAATACATGTTATGTATAATAATGTTAGCACAATTAAAAAAAGGGGAGAAGGAATAGATCTGTATAGTAATAACTTTTCTATATCATTCTAAAATTGTTAGCATAAATTTGTGATAAATTCTGCTAAGATCTGTATGATTAGCTCCAGAGCAACTACTAAAAATAAAAGTTTATATAATATAGTAAAAATAGCATTAACAAAATTAAAATGTTGCCCTTAGGTCCAGGCACAGTGACTCATGTCTGTAATCTCCAGGTTTTGGGAGGCCAGGGCAGGAGAATAGCTTGAGACCAGTAGTTTGACACCAGCCTTGGCAACATAGTGATCACCTGACTCTACAAAAAGTTTAAAAAATCAGCCAGACATGGTTGTGCACATCTGTAGTCCTAGCTACTGGGGAGGCAGTGGAAGAAGTATTTCTTGAGCCTGCAATGAGCTATGATTGTGCCACTGCACTCCAGACTGGGCAACAAAGTGAGACCCTATCATGAAAAAATAAATACAATAAAATGAAATATTGCCCTGGAGTAATATTTACTTAGTACAAAATAAAATAGTATTAGAATAATTAGAATGAGAAAAATAGAGGTACAAAAGAGATATGAGACATGTAGAAATCAAATAGTAAAATGGCAGGCATAAATTGAAATGCTTCAAAAATATTTAAATTAAGTGACTTCAGAAATTCAGTCAAAAGATAGAGATTTTTAGAGTGGCTGTTTTCTGATTTGGTCACTATATATGATTTACAGAAGATGTAGTTTATGTATACATATGTGTATTTGTATATATATGGTTTATGGGAGACACTTTAGATTCAAAGATACAAATAAGCTGAAAGTAAAGCAATAAAAGATACATAATTCAAACAGTAACAAGAAGAAAACTGGAGTACCTATACTAACATCAGGAAAAAAATAGATATAAAAAATGAAACAATTACTAGAGAAAAATATGGATATCTTATAATTATAAAAAAGTCAAAATGTTAAGAAAAGGTAATGATTATAAACATACTTGTGTGTATGTATATGTGTATGTATGTGTGTATACACAACTAGCAACATAGCCTCAAAACAATGAAGCTAAAAAAAGTAATTTAAGGGAGAAATAGGCAATTCAACAATGAGACTTAGAGACTCTAATAACCTACTTTCAATAGCAGATGTAATACTTGGTTGTAAGTCAACTAAGGTGTAGAAGATTTAAACAACATTATAAATCATCTAGGAGTAGCAGATAGCTATAAAACACATTACCCAACAAGGACAGAATAACCTTCTTAAATGTACATGGTACATTTACCAGGATAGACTATATGCTATACTATGCTATAAAACAAGCTGTAATTTATTTCAAAAAATTGAAATAATAAAATGAACATCATCTGATGAAAATTGAATGAGATTAAACATCAGAAACAATAAGTAACTTGGCAAACTTACAATTATATGGAATTTAAATAACACAATTTATATTAAAAAATGGATCAAAATGAAATTGAAAGAGAAATTAGGAAAGACTTTGAAATTATTGAAAATGGACACCAAAACTCATGGGATGTGAGTGATGCAGTGCTTGGAATAAAATGTGTAGCTGTAAATACCTCAATAGCCTAAACTCCCACCTCAACACAATGGAGAAGAAAGAAAACTAAACCTGAATAACATAAGTAGAAAGAAGGAAATTGTAAACTAAGAGTAAAATTAATAAAATAAAATACAGATAAACAATAAAGGCTATCAGAAAAATTAAAGTTCATTTGTTTTAAAAGTTAACAAAATAAATATCCTAAAATCAGGCATAAGAGATAAAAAGTACTTATTATAGAAAAAAAATATAATACTTTACACCTAAATTTTAAAGTTTAGTTAACTTTAATAAAATGGGAAATAGAAAAATATCAACTACTGCAATTGATTCAAGAAGAAATAGAAAATCTAACCTATCACAAGTAAAAAGACTGAATCCAGTAATTAAACAAACTAACAAAAATTAACACTATGGAATGCCCGATCCTAGATGACTTCACTGGGTCATTGTAACAAATATATAAAGCAAAATTAAGAGTAGTTATTCAACACCTCTTTCAAAAATAGAAGAGCAGGGAACATTTCCCAACTCATTTTATGAGGCCAATATTACAACAATACTACAACCAGGCAAATCACAAGAAAACTATAGGCAAATATATGTTTTCAATCTAAATGAAAGAACCCACAACACAATGATACTACACCAAGTTCAGCAACATATGGAAAGGTTTATATAGCATAACCAAATGAGATTTATCATAAGAATATAAGGTTAATTTAATATCTTAAAATCAACTAATGTAATTTACTCTATTAACAGAATAAATAAAAAAGAAAATACATGATAATGTAAATAGATGCAGGAAAAAAAGCATGTTGCAGAATCTCACAACTCTTCATGACAAAAGCACTCAACAAATGAGGAATACAAGGGAACTTCCACAATCTGATAGGGGGCATTTAAAAAAATAAGAAGAACAAAGAAACATAACTAACATTATACTTAATGTTGAAAGACTGAAAGACTGGAATTGCAAATCAAAACCATGAGATAACACTTTACACCTACTTGTGTAGTCTAATCATAGATTTTCCATTTGATCCAGCAACTCTACTTGTAGTATATACTCGAAAAAATGAACATATATGTTCATACAAAATTTGTATGTGAATGTTTGCTCAGTTGTGAGAGATTAAAAAAGCTGAAATAACTTAAATGTCCATCAACTGACGAATGAATATATACAATTTGTCATATTCATAAAATAAAATGTTATTCAGCAGTAGTCAAAAATGAATTACGGATACATACTTTAATATAGATGAACATTGGAAACATTTAGATAAGGAAAAGAAGTAAGTCACATAAGATACATATAGTGCTCAAAAATACCTGTTTAATGAAACATTTTTATTTATTAAGAAGGATTTTTATTTATTAAGAAAATTATCCTTTGTTTTGCGATATGTTTATTTTTTTCTGATTTTGTGATTCTTTTTTGTTTGTCATCATTTTGTGATATCCAGAGAATCTTGGCATTTTTGCAATTGAAATTATCAACACTTTAATTGTTTGATATTGTTTTGATAATTAACATCAAATTCTTGATATTGTTTTATAATTAATACTAACAATGGAGCTTGGAAAATTTTGCAGATACGAGTATTTTATATCAAATTAAGTTTCTCTATATCAATTACAATATCTAGAAATTATACATGTGATACCACCTGTTATAATGTCAAAAGTATGCAAAATCTTAGAATGAACAAAAGTTGCTCTAATTCTCTGTTAAAAAGACCCTTTATATACCGCTAAGCTCAGTGAAAAGAAAAAATTACATATACTCTGAATAAATGAAAATATAATGCATGAATTTAAATATTAGGCCTCAAATTGGTGAAGATATTAATTTTTTCCAAATTGATTCACACATTTAATGCAATAAAAAATAATGCAGATTATTTTAGAAACTAATTATATATATATTTATGAATAATGTTTTAGAAATTATTAGGCCATCTTTGAAAAGGAAAAGTAATGGGGTGGGACTTCATGAACTATGTGGTAAGACAGACTACAAAACCATGCATTTAAAGGAAAAAAAATAATGGGTCAACAGAGAGCTGTGACAAAAACCCAAGTATATATGTGGGATCCTGATATATAAGAAATTTGGCTACAATTTCAATTGAACATACTGGGTTCTTTAGTAAATGGTATTGAGGACATGGCTCATTGTAAGACTCTAAGTGAAACTGGATTATAACCTTATACATTATAGAAGGAGACTCCAAATATGTATAGGGATCTAAAAGCAAAGGTAAAATAATGCTATAAATGAAAGAAATGTAGAAAAACATCTTTGTGATTTGGGGATGAATAAATTTTCCAATTAAACACAATTTATAAAGCAAAATAATGACAGTATTATAAAAATAGACATTAATGATGGTGATGATGTTAACAGACACAACGTTAATGAAAAATGTATAAACATTTTTCTTTTAAAGTATATTTTAAATGGATGCAGATAAAAATTCATAATATAAATGATGTATTTCATACAGGTCTGCACGTTACCATATTTTTTCCCTGAAATGTTCAAAAAATTTTCTGGGGATTTATAAAATGTTTAATGAGCCAAATATTTTAAAAAATATATCACACCAGCCATATTGTTACTTAAGACCAGGAAAGATTTGCTAAGTATGGCATGATAATTTCTTAATACCAGGCTCAGACTTTGAGGTGTTCATGACTCCCACCTCTTTTTGAAGCCTCAAATTTATGTCTGAGTCACCAATCCCTACTTGCTACCACAAATATTATAACAGAATTAAATATATTCATTTGTATATTGATTATTTATTGAATATTCTCTAATTATAACATATTGTTGAACATGTCATGACAGTGAGACATGATACCTGTCCTAGGTAATGTACTACACATAAGCAAGATTATATACTCTTCAGAACACATCTCATGGTTGTTCTATTTTATTTAGAAAGTGAACACATTTTTAAAGTACTAAAGTAATTTTTTTTCTTCACTTTCTGAACATATAAGTTGCTTGATTATAGCAATGTGTCTTCTGGCTTTCTTTCTGGAAGTTTTAAATTAAACCTGTTTCCTGTACAAGCTATTTTAGGATATTCACATTTTCTGTGTAATGCTAAATATAACCAAAACATAATTTTCAGTTATAAGCAAGAGTTCTATTTCAAAGTGTAAAATCTAAAAGTCCACAAGAATATCAGGTGTAGTTTCAAAAACTATTTCTGTATAGT